TCTCCTGATAGCGGTCGCGGCGATGGCCAGCAGAATCCTGGAAACAACCTGCACGTTTCTGGGCTGAGCCATAAAGTTGATACCCGCGACCTTGAGCAGGCATTTGCCAAAACTGGCCGGGTACGTGTTTTCATATGCAAAAATGTGCAACGATCTCTGACTTGTTCTGAAGGTCAAGAAAGCCCAGGTCATGTATGACCCTCATACGCGTGAGTCGCGCGGGTTTGGGTTTGTGACTATGGAGTCTACAGAGGAGGCGGATGCTGCAATTACTGCTTTAAATGCTACTGATCTTATGGGCAAGACAATGACAGTAGAGAGGGTAGGTCATCGTTACGCGGGACTTGTACGCTCCGCTGACATTTTTGGTAGGCCCGCCGAGCACGTGCCAGGACTCCGACTCCTGGAAGATACTATGGACCTCCCAAGCGCAATGAATGTAGGTGGTTCTAGTATAGATGTGAAAACAAAGCTCATGCCTGTGCTTCAGATGAACGGCCTTACGATCCTCGTCCCTATGATAGTCGTTACTCGCGCCATGATGATCGTCGCCCCCCTCGTCGCTACGAGGACGACTATCGAATGGGGGGTCGTGACCACGATCGTGGTGGCAGTTATCGAGACTACGACAGGGGATACGGCCGTGAATACGATCGTCGCGGTGGTGGCGGTGGCGGCGGCTACGACGACAGGCGTTATTAAGCTTTCAAGGTTTAGTTAACTCAATTGGTCGTCAAGGTCCTCGGCCTTCAAAAGTCCTTCTGTTTATTCTCTCTTATTCATAGTCGTTGTTAGTCCTTTCGTGTATCTAGTATCTCCTGTTCGCAATGATGTGGGTTGTGGTATTGAAAAAAGCATGTCTTATTTCATTGCATTGGATGAGCCCATGCTGGTGCTACCTATACCCATCTCTACAACATAATTCTCTCGCTTCAGTCGCTTCATTTCTTCGACTACTTTGCCGACTTTCTCAAACTCTACCCAGCGCCTTCGAGTCTCGTACTCTTGCCCTACTGCCTGGGGTAATGGTTCAACAAACCTGATACGCAATGCTAGCCACTGCATTGCCTTCACGTTTGCCACGAACTTCTGTAATTGCACCCGTTCTCCTTCGCAATATATGACGCCAGGATAGCCAACCTTCGCAAATCCCGTCACTGAAAGTTCGCCGGACCATTGCTGCAGAGAGCGACGCTTATTTGGCGAAATGAGGTGGTGAGAAGTCAGCAGAGCGTGGAAGCGGGGTGCTTGTGCGTTGGCGGGATGTAATAATCCTGGATCCGCGGTTGAGCTTGCTGTATGCAATCCAGCTCGTGCGTCAAATGTAGCGTGAAGTTCGGGGAGAAGGTGCGTTGAGATCAGCTCAAAGACCGGATATCTATATGATGGAAAGCTTGGTGAATCACTCGTGTGTCGCGCCAGGAGCTCTAAGGACGCACTCACTGTCTTTGACCTCGTTCATCTTCTCCCTGACGATGGTCTGCCAGTGCTCCTGCTCTATACGGCCGAGGTTGTCTCCTTTTACTAGAATGAGGACACGCCCACTGCACAAGTCATCTCCGTGGTACTCCTCGTGGAAGGCCACTTCAAACCAGATATTGAATACGTCTATCTTCACTTGGAAGCGTGCCGGCTTCAGTCCACCTGGCACTCTGTCTGAGAGGCTGGTGCTATCCATTGAATTGTCTATGAAAGTGTCCAGTAACCGGCCCCAATGATCTATCCCGTCCGAGGATGGGATGAACAATATCTCTTCTCCAGGGAGGATGGAGCATTTCAGCAAGCTGAGCTCCTCAAGCTGATGGGCGAGCGTCGTAGTGGTCAGGGCCATTCTTGGGATTGAACCAAAAAGGGTAGGTATATGGCCAAAGTAGGAACATAGCGTTAGATTGTGGGCGTCTTGGCCCAGTCCATGTAATCCGAGGAGTCAAAGTGCGTATTACACGCCCATTTCACAGCAGTTTACTGGTGCGCAATATCGGAGCTCATATTTTATGCACTCTGTACCGTCGAACAACTTTATAGCTCTCCTCTTGGCAATGAATGCCCGTAACGATAACACGTCAAACCAAGTTTGCGTTTTAGCGACGCTGCCTCCGTATTTTTTTTGTCTAGCTCGAATCTCCATGTTGTCCTGGCACTTCACGATGAGAACGGGTTAATTGTCTATCAAGGCACTATTAGCGTGGTCTATTAAACCTGTGCTGAACTGATACAGCACCAAGGTGATGTGAGTCTAGTAGGAATGTTACATGTCATGTCCGAGCCAGGTTGTTGCCAGCCTCATACCCAACCGAATCCAAACGTGTCAATGTCTTCGATGCGCCTGGGAACTATTTCCAAACACATCTGGGTCAGGAACGATATCGGCTTGATATGGGTGTTGGTGATAATTAGATTGCGTTTGCTGCATTGGAGATATGTCAATAGCAGCCATTAATGTGCGTAAAGCTTACTCAGTCTACACAGAAAAAAACTTTTAGACTGAATAGTGTATACAGCTACATCATCATTTTAAGTTGAGGCCGTTTGACACGGAGCATTCAGTAATATTTGTTAGCTGTTCTTAGAGAAATGAATGAGCAACTTGGGGGTATATATATATATGTGTGTGTGCGTGCGTATGGGGAATGTACATGGTGGTGATATAAATGAGTACGGTTAGTAGCCGTAATGGTCCCTTAACGACCACGGAAGTGTAGTCCAGATGACCGGGATATCCATGGAAAATACCTCAAAAACCAGGGAGAGGTCAAATAGACAGCATGAGACCGAGTGTCATTATAAGCGCATTCAATGGTCTATATCTGTGCGTATGTCAACATCATGGGGTTTCCTTGACATCGTAACCTTCGACAGTCCATTCTACAGACATAGATGTGCCAAAATCACTATGAAGGATCCTAATAGCGCGGCGCTTGCCATGTGTGTTGTTCCTGGACGGTTCTTGAAATTCGCACCCGCTGAAGAAGTAAAAGAATCGGTCGTGCTATTCCATTCTTTTGCTAAATGCTGGAAAGCCGAGAGATTCGCGCTGTCCACGTTGACGGCGAAGACCATGCCTTGCTCGCAGTGCCTATACGATAGGGGGGAATCCAATTTTAGTAATAGATAAATTTGATGGGTATGACTTTGCATGACATACCCAGGATGGCGGCAGTAAAAATACACAGACTCATTCGTGTTCACCTTATAATCATATCCAAGTTGTAGGTGGCCGATTGCGTCGCCTACAATAGGGATAAAGCCACTATCGAATACGACGCCACCGCTGGAATTTCGCAGTTCGGTACATGGGTTTTCGAACGACGATTGCGTTATTGTGTGGTTTCCCGAGACACTGGGGAAACTTTAAGACGTCGTTGTAGCGAGAAGAATATGGAAACTTCGAACAAGAGAAAAGTCAGCACGTCACCAATGATCGCATTTACGCTGTAAAAAAATGACCATATTAGCTATTGGATGACTATCCATGCTGCTAGAGGGAGGCCATACCTGGGAGGGTCGTAAGTCAAAGTACCATTAATGCCGACAGTGACATTAAGATTGGTACTCTTGACGACGCTCAAGGACAGAAAGAAGGCAGCAGCAGCGAAAATAACGCATGTCATTTTGAAAATAGATAATAAGATCGAATGCACAATGAGATGAGCGCAAAATAAAAGAACGACAAGAGCTTCCAAGGGGGAGAAACGAACAAGGGGCGTAGGAGCTTCAAGGCACTCATACACCAGTTATGAGAACTCTAACACAGCAATGCATCATAACAGTCAATGCTCATAGATGAACAAAGAACAGGCTTCTAGACTATAAGGCAGGTGCTTTGATAGCAAGACGAACTATTGTGATACCGAGACAGCCGGCGGATTTACCTAGGGCTAGAATGAAGATGAATATGATACCCATAACACTAGACACGCACCTCTCAATGGGACGGGCACAAGAAGACATACCGTGACTAAATTGTGGGAGTCTGACTCTCACTGCCGAGTCGGCGTCTAGGACAGCCACGCCGCGACGGGCGTGTGCCAATCAATACCAAGCGTGGGGAAGGCTAGCCGTCAAAGTACTTATCGACTGACTCAGACTATTCAGAGTGCAGAGGCAAAGGAGTACAAACAAATAACGCATACATGAAACAACGTCACTCGTCAGCGCTGTGTGCTCGCGATGCAAATTGGAGAGAATGTAGTGTGGGTCACCATGCACCATCTCGCAACTGAACCTGGATATGCATGCGCATCACAGGGAACCACAGGCACGTAGGATGATATACACGTCAATCATTGTACACTGTATGACTCTAGTAGTCTCTGAGCGCGAAGGAGGGGGTAAGCGACACTAGTTGCAATGGTATAAAGCACATCGCGCTGGACGGCTAAACGAAGAGTTCAGATATGTTTTGGATGAGGAGCAATAAAAAGACTGCGAGGTAAATGCAATAACGAAAGATGATGCGAATGTGGCCGAAGGTCCATGCAGTGATTAAATACGTAATGCCGACAATGGTTGATAAGTCTAGACTGCTTTGAACGGCGATGGCGATGGTTATCGAGTTGGCATGATACGTTTGCTTGATAGTGCGAGAGATTGCGAGATAATGAAGCCTGAATGTGGTTTGCGAGAGTGCATAGGCGTTTTCCGTTTTCTTTTCAATGCTTCTAATATGCCACTGATGCGTGAATGAAAGATTGCTGCCTGATATATGCTGGGGAAATATGGAGCGCCCGCCACGATGAACGTGCTCAGTAGCCGTAGTAAGCACGCTGAGATACCGTTAGCGTTGGATCAATTACGCAGTCATTACTCGCTCACCATCCTATCACTGAATGAGAGCAACATGAGTAAGCGAGAACAGCCTATAGTAATATTGACCCTTCTGACTCACAAGAGCCAGATCACTTTGGAACCTGTCTTGCAACCGCGTAGGGTCACAATATGGCCACGGATGGAATCATACAGGAGTGCACGTTGATCTTTGTCCGCCTACGTCACATGGATGAGGATCGCAGGAGTAACTGAAATCATATTGAAGACTTACGGTCGGTAGAACGCTTGCGATCAACTGGCTACCCGTAACGGACAAGGCAAGGTCGACGATCATGGCCCTACGACAACTTCCAACACAAAATGATTGGTTGAACTAGTAGCACCACATGATTCTATGACATACCCCTTTGCTGGTTCGCACATTCGCTTAATGACCCTGTCCAACGTGTCGTCGCCGCCCTCCTTTAGAGCCTTGGTCACTGATTTTACGCCTTGCTCGTTTGTTGCATACTCGAGCAGCCCTGCAAGGAGATGCTCGAGGGCCATATTTTGATGCTTGTGCGATCCGTGTTCAAGGACTGCGGGACATAAGCACCAAAGGCAGAAAGGAAGGCCGAGACTTACTGTGCTGGATACAGTACGACCCCCATTGGTTCTTAGTAACCTCACTGAATACAGCCGAGCCTTGATTGAGTAGCTCGTCGACTATGCCATCCTTGGCCGACTCCTCCAAATTCTCAAAGGCATGCTGAACCCACGACATCAACTACTGGATTTGTGGATTTTGATATGAGACACACCTGCACGACGAGTGAACCGGTCTCGTGGCAAGCAAGGGACGCCCATTTTCCCTTCAGCGACTTGTTGACACTGCGAAGTCACATAACAAGTTGTTCAGCCATTTCTCCTGCGTTTTAAAAATACGCACTAGGCGAAAATGGGCGGCGCAGGAGCTGTCCAAGACAGCTCCATAATCTGTGCATAATGCGTCAGTGGGGAATAGAGATTTATGACGTATGTATCTCGCACCTTGCTCCAGACATGGGAAGCATGTTTGTTGATGAGAGTCTGTGCGGGATCACCAATGAGAAGTTCTGAGACAATCAAGAGCCGTATATCCTCTTCGCAGTCGAGTGCCTTCTGGAGGACATGGCAACCATAGCAATTTGTCGCGAGTTCGACGACGCGCCCTCTGTGCAGTACACAGTGTAGTTGGATCGCCAGTTGAGCAACGACGGCACTCACCTCATGCAAGTGACTATCTTACGTCTTTCTTCTGGGCTCGCGGTTGCCTCGAGGCACCTCTGAACAGCCCAATTTCCGAACCTGAATAGCCGTCAGATCTTGATTCAGACGTGCAGCGAGCGTAAGTAGATACCTGTGAGCCATCATTTCGAAACCCTTTGCGCATATAGCATCAACAATCTTGACGCGCTCCGCACTGTCGGCGACTTTGAGCTTCTGCTGTAGGAAAATCGACGCCTGCTGATCAGAAGATTTGATAATCCGCGACACGAACAGAGGATATGGCGGAGTCGAAGATGGGTGCAACAAAGATAGAAAGTTAATGGGCTAAAGACGGAAGTCATTGAACAAAAAGGCGTCACAGTGCGCATATAGACACAAATACCTCGTGAGAGTGCGATTGTCCGTTTCCCTGTGACGCCGAGCGGCTTGCTTGCCCAGAACGCAAGAGAGGTTCATTCATAAGACTCGCCGAAAACTGGTCGATGACTGGTCTTTCCTCCTGTTGTAGCCAGTCAGAGGTGGCACGCAGGCGTTGATGAGACCACGACTGGTGCGCTACCGGTAAAGCTTCCGTGCGGCGTTGCGCAGTCTGTGAAAAGTACGTCTGCCCTCTCTGCGAAGCAGAAGTCTCCAAGACAGGGTCAAAGAATGGAATAGGGCACTGATCGCTTTGCGCTGAAGAAAGGGACTGAGAAGAAAGGTAGGTAGCGCGCGGCAGAATTTGAGACGCGACAGTGATGTCGTTAAGACGAGTCGGAAACCCAGTTTCGAAAAGACGATCTGTCTGTTGACCATGTATGATACCAAGTCCAAAATTCTGGCCGAACTTGGGATCAAAACTTTTGGCAGGGGATTGGTCGGTGGGTGTTAGAAGAGCAGACGAGGTCGATATGGGTGAGAGGTCCGGAGATGTTTGCAGCGATTGTGAATCTCCAGGAAGGGGATGCTGAGGGGCAGGAGAATTGAGGTTGAGCGTGCGAAGGAGTTGTTCGACGTGCTGTGGATGCGTAAGCAACGGCGCATATAGGGTGTAAAAGGGCGACTGACGACTTCGGCGAAGGTCGGCGAACCTCTCTTGCGGCCGTCGCCAATGGCGCCAACATTCTTACGGTGGCCGTTCTGATCAACGGGACCGAAGATGTCCTCCCCATTGGTAGGGTTGGGGAAGGAGGTGGCGCGGCGAGCGTCGGGTCGGGTCGTGATGCCATTTGTATTGACACGAGTAAAAGAGTCGATGGCTTTTGACCAGGCGGTGTCGGAGGGCTGGGGCTGGGGAGCCCAAATGGAGGAAGAGACGCTGCGATTGGGAGTGTTGATATCAAAGAAAGGGTCGAAGGGCTGGGTGGAGGCGGAGTGCTGCATGGTGAGGAAGAGGCGAAAGACGATGGTGGACGAAGGAGGGATGAGAGGGCGGATGAATAGCGACGGTCGGGGTTATATACGGGCGGGGCGGTCTGACAAGGCGTAGCGTGGCGGCGCCGTCAAGTGGGTGAATTTTCCAAACTGGATAGCCTTCTTTGGCAGGGGTGTTACCATAGGTGGAAAGAGCGGGTGGTTCTTGCGGTGTGATGGATGGGCGCACGAAATCACAGACGACCTTCCGCCAAGTCACATAAACCACGAAAGAAGTTGCCCTGCGGATCTCTTCCCTGCATCGAGCCATTTCGTCCGCCGTCCCCGTCGCTGGCCCCGCCGCTTTCGGGTTCCACATGCGCCCATGCCGTAGCGATACGGCTTCAGCTGTGCAGATGGGACAGGGTGGAGTGTCCGCTCGCTTTTGGATGTCACAGAAATACTCGGGACAGACGAGCACCTGGGGGTGTGACATAACCCAAGTTCATCAACGCTCTTGACAGAAATTCGATGACAGCCATGCTAAGGCGACTTCACGTGCAATGGTCTCAGCTCCTGCAGGATTGACAGAGAATGGGAAGGGTGGAAGCAGAGGTAGCAGTGATGTGGACAGAAGTCATGGCCATGGTGGCCACGTAGTACCGCCTGCAGGCTACGCCTCTTCACGGGCCCGTAGCAAGAATCTCGTTTCTTATCTCATAAGGGGCTCACTGTTCTCTAGTCGTATGATTGCTCGTGATGCGGAGTGGATTATACCTTGTCTGTAGCTGGCATGTGGGCTTGATAGATTCTGAAGCAAATTTGCAGCATACGACTTACCTCTGATAGAACGCCTGCCCCAGATAAGCTGCATTAATGTGACGAGTCGATATCTGATTGCGAAAACGAATCGTGCCACTCACCTTCACAATCAAAATTCCAATCAGCCCTTCGCCCACATAAACTGGCCCAGCTGCAAGGTTGGATGAGGACTAGCGAGCAGACGAGCGGAAGCGAGATAGAATGTAGCATTACGAGAGACAATATGAACGAAACACAAGTCGAATCAATCCCAGATTCCCATCAGCACGATTGATGGTATTGCAATACAGGCATCGCGAATTTCATTAGTCGAATTCATACACCTTCAAACGCCTAGTAAGAGCTACAACATATCCTCAATAAGCAGCACAAGCATAGCACAATCGACAGCAGAGAGAAAGTAATCACACAGCACCACAATCGTCAACCCACCGATACCACACCATTCAGCCTACTCCCCACCACCCGCAAGCTCCAAGATCAACCGGCACGCAACATCCATGAACACAAATGGCGAGACTACCTCATCCTCTCGCATGTTGACGTCCTTCATCGACCGACTTGACTCAAGGGACGCCGTGTCTGACAAATTGAGGTCTGGGTGCGCCATGTCGAACCGCCCCACACCCGGCTCCGTTGCCGCCTTGTATGTTTTCTTGTGGTGGAAGTCAACGAGGTAGTTGATTGAGTCCACCATGTACAGTTGCAGATTCATCAGCACCTGTGGATGTGGCGCCGCCGAGGATCCGTTAGCACTCAGCAACTCAGCGGAACCGAACAGCGCGCCAAATGGCACTCAACCAAAATGGGAAAGGGAAGGCGGTAGAATACTCACTACTACGTCCTGAACTCGCGCCCGAGTCTCGATGAAGTATATTGATGCTGCGGCGCGCAAGTCGACGTACCCGGGGGAATCGTACTCGCGCGCCCGCTCGACTTTCGCCTTCTCGCTGATTCGCTGCACACCACCCAACCCACCGAGGTCTTTCTTCGCCTTCCATTCCATCCCGAGCGTCTTGAGTGTTCTGTAAATCTCCAGCATGACCTCCATCGGAGGCGATCTACTGCGAATCCCAAAGTGCCACTTCGTCCTGTGCTGTTTCTTCTCCTTGACGGGCCACGAACGCTTCGCACTAGCATACGACGCGAGATGATGCTGTTCGGGTAGCTGTTCGGGCAGCGACGAATTGAGTACGGCAAAATTGTTGATTTCGGCTTCGTTCTGGGGTGTGGAAAAATCAAGCCCGTCGTCAACGTCGTCTTCGTCAAAATCGTTGAATTCCGCTTCGAACGGATTCTCCTCTAGCTCTGCTGGTGACAGGGCACTGGGGGAGAGTAAATTCCTAGGCTAATGAATAACGTCAGTGATTGATCTCCAACCAATCTCATCAATTTAGTATAACGTACGTCCATCGCAGCCAAGTGCGCATCCCGTTCCTGTTCCTCAAACTCCGCCACTGATACAGATAACATCAAGTTCCAAGTTCCAAAGCACAACCGGAACACCTACGATCTCGGCCCAACCTTCGCTTGTCTCTGAGGAGCATATACGCAACTTTCACAGCATTCCCTTGTGGTCCGTCATCTCGTCTCAGGGACTCCCACACGTCCTCTTTATCCACTCCATCCATCCGCGCCGATAACTCGTCGACGACATCCTCTTCTATGCGCCCGAGGCCTTCGATGATCTCAAAATCCAGAGCCTTGGGTGGCGGCGTCACAAGTGACGAGAGCGTGCCAAGGACCGGTCCTGGTCGTGGTGGCAATGGCTGGAGATAGCGCGGAAGGTCAGTTGTGAAGAAAGGGTGCTGAAGAATTTCGGGTATGGTAATACGCTTGACGGGATCGACGGCGAGCATTCCATTGATAAGAGTGCGGGCTTCGGGGGATAAGAATACCGGCATGTGGTACACGCCCTCTGGAAGAGAAATCAGAATATGTTGTTGATTCAATTGAGCTAAACTTACGGCTGATCTTAGTGAACAGAGTTTGGACGTCCTCATCCTCGAATGGTAGCCGCCCGCAGAGCATCACGTACAAGATTACTCCACAACTCCAAACATCGATTTCAGGGCCAGTATAAAGCCCTCCCCGTATCACCTCTGGCGCAGCGTAATTTGGACTTCCACAGCTCGTCTTCAAGAAGTCTCCGTCCTTAATCTCATTCGACAACCCAAAGTCGGCGATCTTGACGTTCAAATCCGCGTCGAGAAGTACGTTCTCGGGCTTCAGATCACGATGTACGATCTTAAGGCGGTGGCTGTAGTCGATTCCAGAGATCAGCTGCTGAAAGAACCGTCGTGCCTCGTCCTCCTGCATGCGCCCATGGTCAACTATGTAATTGAATAGCTCTCCCCCCGCATACTCAAGCACGATGATAATGTCCGTCGGTGTCGAAATTACTTCGTACCTGCCAAGCGATCAACAACCAAAATTCTAGCTGCGTGCACAGTCAACGCACAGTTTAATAATATGGGGATGCCGCAATGTCCGCATGTATTCGACCTCACGCTGAACTCGTGTCTTTGTCTTTGTCGCTGCGATGACCTGCTTGGATATGAACTTCATGGCGACCTTGTGTCCAGTGACTGTATGGACGGCCACTACAAGTACAGTCAATGAACGCCACTCCGGAACATATCTCGCGCGTACTCACTCTTGACCTTACCGAATGTTCCTTCCGCGATCTCGCCAGTGACGGTGTACTCCCCCAGTTTAGAAGCTGGAAATGTTCCTGGAACTACTTCAGCCATGGTTTGTTCCAGGATGAGTAGTCTACGGAAAGTGCGCGGGACGAGACGCCAATTCGAAAGTGCGGGGTAGTGGCAGAAAGGAGACTGAATTCTCCAAGCCTCAATTGTGTGTTGTTTGTCCTCCTCCCGGGGCGCGATTGCCCAAAGAACCATTACCTCCCGCCGGCACTGTGTAATTACGTAATTCGCTTGTCTTGCGGCCAGGTCGTTGATCACGCCGGACAAGATCGTCTGGATCCTCCCCAATCATTAGCCCACACTGAAGTTATCGATACTCTACAACGATGGTTTTCCTCCGGTACCATGTGCCATTGCAGCCGGCCACAAATGCCGTGCCATGCACGACCCGCGTGCCCACTAGTATGTTTTGGCTCTGTTGGGCGTATATATACGCCTCATCGTCCCACAAGCAGTCGAACAAGGTTTTGCCATATACCTTCTTTTCTACCGTCATTATAACACGCCAATAAGACACCCTATAGTAGCTTACTCATCTCTTTTAGCTTGCTCATCCTGCAGCTTTGAATGCGCTAGATGAGAATCTGGACTGAGAGGAACAATTGAAGGGAAAGAGTGTATCGTTGGAACACCTCACGGCCTTCAAGGATTCAACACATACATCCAAAACGCTGAGGATATAATTGCTCCGACACCGACCAAAGCAAGACTGGGCTGGTGCGTGCCTCAATTGTTACTGATCCCTTCGGTAGGATAATGCGGTAATCACAGTTCTCTACTTAACATCAGTGGTAGATTAGAATCTGTGTCCTCTCAATAGACTGGGTGTGGAGTGAACGGTGCGTTCATGCTTCTGTGGTGCCTGCGTCTTCTAACGTCTTTGAATACACAGAGTACGCATCTTCCCTCACCTTCTTTGCCGCCTACCATGAATAGCTCGGGCTCAAGGGAAAGCCCGTCCCGGAAATCACTTCTGAGCCGATTTGAGCGTCTGGGACATCTTCAGGACCTGGACCAAGTGATATTGATGGATACGGTAGCAGTGAGGCTCGCACAGGGCGACGACAAGCATATTCATTTGTACAATCTTGGAGACGCCTACTCCCGTCGCTTTGAACATTTCAAAAACCTCGCTGATATCAATCAGGCAATCTCAGCATTCGAGGAGGCATTGAAGCTCACACCAGTTGGTCATCCTAATAAATACAAAAACATGATCAATCTGGGAAATTCGTTCTTCCTTCGTTTCCAGCACCTTAGTTGCATCACTGACATCGACAGATCAATATCGGCATTTCAAGATGCCCTGCAGCTCATCCCAGATGGCCATCGCGACAAAGCGAGCTGCCTGAGTAATCTTAGCGACTCACTTTTTCTTCGCTTTGAGAACTCTTGCAATCCAACAGACCTCGACGAGTCAATCTCGGCCAGAGAATGCGCAGTAGCAGTCACCGAAGATCATGACCCTCAGAAACTTAATCGGTTGGTGAATCTTGGAAACTCGATGTTTCGTCGATTCCAGCTTTCTGGAAACATCGCGGACCTCGATACGTGCGTTTTTGCAAGAGAGCACGTCATTCGGATCGTCCCAAAAGACGATCCTACGCGGCATATCCATCTCAGTCGACTTGCCACTCCATATTCGATTCGATTCGAACGACTCTCCCTTCCCGCCGATCTTGACAAGTGCATCTCGGTGAGCGAAGAAGCGGCACAGTTCCTCCCAGAAACCCATCCAGATAAGCCCGGTTACCTCAGCAATCTCGGGAGTTTTCTGCTCCAACGTTTCAATTTATCTGGTGGCCTCTCTGATATTGAGAAGGCAACTTGTATGTTTGAGGATGCCGTTCAGCTCCTTGATGATAAAAACTCTATCAAGGCTACGGTACTAGGAAACTTGGGTTATTCCCTTACGCTCCGGTTTGAGAGGGTCAGCGATCCCGTTGACCTCTCTAAGGCCATCACCTCTAGCACAGACGCTCTTCACCTTACTCCCGATAATCATCCTAGAAAAGCGGATCGCCTTGCTAATCTTGGCATTGCACTCCTCGCCCGTTACCAGCATCTGGGAGATCCTGTCGACCTCGAAAAATCTCTGTCCACATTCCAGGATGCGCTTCGCTCAGAGCAAGGAGGTCCTCTGGAGAAGACCGACCACCGCATGAATATTAGCAACTCGTTGAGTCTGCGTTTTGAGCGCTTTGGAGACCCTGTGGATATTGACAAGACGGTGTGTTTACGAAAGGAAATCGTGCAGCTCACTCCAGACTGCCACCCTGATAAACCTCGCCGCCTTAGCAGCCTCGGAAATGCTTTGCTACGTCGCTTTCAGCGTGTTGGTGACGTATCTGATATAAACGAGTCCATTATCATGAATAAAGCATCCGTACGACTTGCCCCCGACTGCCATCCTGAAAGATGGTTGTATATGACGGACCTTGGGACTTCGTTACTTGCTCGTTTCGATGAATTCGGCGACCTTGACGACATTCGCGAATCCATCGCGATGAACACAATTTCTGTGAGGCTCGTACCATCTGGCCATACAAGCAAATCCACTTGCCTGAGCAATCTCGCCAGCTCATATCTAAGCAGATTTCAGCGTTTAGGCGATCTCAGCGACATCAACGAAACAATTTTACACTTCGAAGATGCTTTGCAATCGAGCCCAGAAACTGATCCCACTAGAGCCGGATATCTGCGCAACCTCGGGTTTGCTTTATGGCACCGCTTCCAGCGTCTCGGTGACATCGGTGACATTGACAAATCCGTCTCTCTTGGACTGAATGCAGTACAGCTTAGCCCAGACAGCCATCCGGATAAACCTGCTCGCCTCGACAGTCTCGGGACTTCTCTTTTAAGCCGTTTCCAGCGCCTTGGTGATATTGCTGACCTTAACAAATCAATCATGGTCAGAGAGGATGCCATACGTCTTGCACCAAATAGCCATCGAGACAAACATATATATCTGAACAACCTCGGGAATGCGCTTCAAGGCCGATACGATCGGCTTCGGAATTGTCTCGACGTTGACAGAGCGATTCTGGTTTGCACTGAAGCCGTCCAACTCAGTTCAGCGAATCACACTAACAAGGCTGCTTGTCTTAACAATCTCGGAAAGGCTTTCAGTCTGCGTCACGAAGGCGAAGGTGACGAGCTCGACCTCACCGAGTCTATCAAAGCGTTTAAAGAAGTGGTTCAGCTGGTCCTAGATGGCCATGCCAGAAAGCCGACGTTTCTAAATAATCTGGGTAGACAACTGCTCAGCCGCTTTGAACATCTCCACGAATCTGTCGACATTCATGACTCAATAATAATGGCGCAAGCCGCAGTGCAACAAACACCTGATGGACATGTCGCAAAACCCTATTGGATTTACAATCTTGGAACTTCGATCTTCAGTCGGTTCCAATTTCTTAAAGATCCAGCTGATCTGGACAATGCAATATTGCAGTTTTCGGCAGCCGCCCGCTCTGCTACTGGTTCTCCTTCCATCAAGTTCCGCGCATGCCTACAGTGGATTCACGGCCTTTCCTTCTACCCGTCCGACTTTTCCGTTCTAGACGCATACGTCGTTGCTCTTGATCTCCTACCTCAATTAGCCTGGCTTGGCCTTCCGCTCCAGGATCGCTATCGAGAGCTTCTGAGTGCAGGGAGTGTGACAAGAGATGCTGCGGCTGCAGCTGTCAAGTTCGGAAGGGCTCAGACTGCTGTCGAGTGGCTAGAACAAGGACGTTCCATTGTTTGGGGCCAATTACTGCAGCTTCGTACACCAATTGACGAATTACAAGATTCACACCCTGAGCTTGCGGCTAGACTTCTGCAGGTCTCACATGAACTGGAACAGAGCAGTACTCGTGATCAAGCTAGTCTCGAAACTCGCATTGAGATGTCATTGGAGGACGATGCTCGGCGACATCGTTCCCTCACTCTTGAGTGGCAAGAAATCATCCAGACAGTCAGGTCCTCGTCTGGTTTCGAGAGATTCCTTCTACCCAAGACGATCACACAGCTTTCTGCTTCTGCCCAATCAGGACCTGTTGTCATTCTTAATGCCAGCCGAAGTCGATGCGATGCATTGATTCTAATGGCCAGATCGGACGATGTGCTCCATGTTCCTCTACCAAACATAACCTACGAGAGACTTCACGATCTCCAAAGTCTCTTGACCACAGTGTTGGCGAGCAATACCCGTGTCGTCGACAGAGCCATTAAAACTGTGTACCCCACTGCCAGGAATCCCGACGGTGTATTGGAGAATATTCTATCGGAACTCTGGCTCAAGGTCGTTAAGCCGATTTTAGATGTCTTGATCACTTCTGTAAGCTCCTCTGTGCTTGCTTTCGCGTGATAGACTGATTCAAACAGTTTCAGGCGCCATCTACCACTGCTCAAGAGCTCCCGCGCATCTTTTGGTGCCCGACTGGACCGTTCACATCCCTTCCCATTCATGCAGCGGGACTTCACAGCGAGACTCGAACTGACTCCATACTCTCTAGGTTTGCTGTCTCTTCATACGCCCCGACTTTGAGCGCCCTTATGCCACTCTCACGCCCAGAGGCCGGTATGGGCGACACGCAGCTCCTCGCCATCGCCCAGCCCGCTGTCCTTGGATATGCTCAACTTCCCGGTACTGTTCAAGAGCTCAAATGTATCGAAGCAAGGGCCAATGCTGCTAATCTACTCTTCACATCAATCAAAGGGTCTGAAGCCACAGTTGCCAATGTGATAGAGAATATGGGAGCGTCTGCAGCTAGCTGGGTGCACTTTGCGTGCCACGGCGTGCAAGACGCCGACAAACCTACCAACAGCGGTTTGATTCTATCAGATGGCCGCCTAAAACTTTCGGATATCATCAAGTTATCTCGTTCGCACGGAGGTCTGGCTTTCCTGTCGGCATGCCAGTCTGCTAAAGGCGATAAGGACCTCTCAGAAGAAGCTGTTCACCTTGCCGCAGGAATGCTGCTTGCTGGATATCGCGGAGTAGTTGCCACGATGTGGTCAATAAAGGACGGAGATGCCCCTTTGGTGGCTGACAAGGTGTATAGTCGCCTTTTTGAACACGGGAAGCCTGATTGCAGAGACGCCGCTCACGCATTGCACGAGGCCGTGCAGAGTCTTTACGCCAAGAAGAAAAAGGCATATCTATCGTGGGTTCCGTTTATTCATATGGGCATTTGACTATTCCATCGCATATAGGCCCTTTTGGTTTGGCCCCGTAGTGCTACGTATACTTGTGCAGCTTAAGCCTTTAGCTACGTTCTTCCCGATGTGAGGATTCACCAGGATCTCTTCGGTTCTTCTGACCTCTGACAACTCTTCTGCCTATAACATGTAACATCATATCCAACTTCATCTACCTTCGCGATTGAGGCTGTTGTACATACTCAATGAAGATCAACGTGCTGACCCTGATCCTAAGTGATACTGCGCGAACCTTGCAGCTTTATATTGATTTCATCCAGCAGATCTCTGGTGTACAATATGTTTACATCATTAAGTCCTATGTCTCAATCCAGACGACGGGCTCATCTGATCGCTCCCAAGACGAAAATCACGACCTCGCACCCACGATTAGATATCATCCACAAACGAGGGAATTGCGCCCCCACTAGATGCGCGAACTGCGACAATGCATCGTAGAGCGAGGTCTTCTACTGTGTCGATTACAGAAACGGGGTCACCGCTGAGACTGGGCCAGAGTGTACGTTTGATGGATGCTAACATCATGGTATGACATCAATCACAACAAAGCATGGTCGCAGAATAACGTACACAACATTCAAATTCAAAGACAAAACTTCCATAATTGGTTAAAAACAACGGATACAAAGGTTCATTAGGTATTGAGGAAATATGTGTCCCAAAACTACGAGCACAGCAATTGACACGCAACAAGGCGATGACTGCACTCAACTCTACTGAGACGATACGTATTCGAGCTTCTGAGATCCACCAGACTTCATGACGAAGCCAGGCAGCAAAAGACTCGAGACGTGTCAATTTTCCACGACCGTAACAGACGCAACACATGGAAGAAAGTTGTGAAGAGCCTTGACTTGGTACGTGGTACACTCACAGAAACGACACACTCAGGTCTAGGGCGAAGAAAACTAGTTCATAACAACGTAATGTTGGAAGAACAAGCAGAAAGGCAAGTCGCAACAGAGCCTTGCAGAGGTCGAGACCCGAATGCTGACATTCACCAATTAGTCGTCATAAAGAGAAATATTCTTGATAGCAGTCTTGCATTGAGAGGAAGCAATCGAACAGATGTGCATGTTGAGGCCAAGTCAGAAAAAAGAAAAGCAATTTACGAAGTTGGCGCGAGCGAACTCTTAAGGAAAAATATCCTGCTTATGTAATATATACTGGAATACTCACACGTTAACGCAAACCGGATCGGCTTACAGCGCTTTCGGAAAGTGACCTTGGGTTGCCCTGTTACGCCGGTTTATTTCTAACTTGAAGTACTTAGTATACTATGTCAACAATGGACATCCCTACGCTCCCTGCGCGACGTTCTTTTTTGTGGTAAGTACAATGCCATGACAATTCGAGGTTATCCAGAACACTTTGTTACAAAGTTCTACTATACTGCGTCGATCTCCTCTGAGCGGTGACCGGTGAAGGCTCGCCCCATGCATAAGCGTGTATAGTCTATGCTAGCCAACTCAGCAGGTGTGCAGACAACATCGTCGGAATCAACCCGACATGAAGCTTCCAACGGAATCCAACTCGACACAGATGGAGTTTCGAAAGACTCAGATCCAGGACGTGCTGAAACGCAAAGGAGTGATGCATATGATAGAAACAAATGACAGTGAGACATGCAGATAACTTTAAAAAAACGTTTAGTATAGATAAGTGGGAGGAGTGTCCATGTCCATGTCAAATCCTAGTTTACATCCTGTTCGCCATCTCGCGCTCTAATCCCAACAGCGCTCAGTACGCACCACCGACTACTTTATACCCTGATCTAGCGGCCTTTGCCCTGCGGATGACCATCCCGCCAATAGCAAGCAACAGAACCACGATGCCAACAAGCAGACCCATAATTATGTACTCGTTCCGGACAAGCGCATCGTAGTCTGCAGGTGAAGATGAGGACGACGGGCTGGCACTGGACACCGCATCAGAGGAGTCGTGAACGGAGAGATCTGAGGATGCGGAAGACGACGTTGGTGAGGAATAAGACGACGACAATGTACTTGAATAAGGTGCGCTCGACATATTCTGTCCTATGTAGCAATACCTCGAGAAGCAAGTGTTGCACGCACTCGTCCGCGCTGCACCCTGCCTCACCCGCATCCGCTCGAACAGCGCGCAGGCGACACAAGTGCTCCACTCGGCGTCGTGCTGTTCCAGATTCGTGTTATTGATACCCGCATAACCACGCGTGGCGAGGAGGTAGCCATTGTCGAATATGTCCGTTTGATTTGCGACCGAAATCTGCAGCGTTGCGGTACTGATGTTCGTCATGCCCGTAGGGTCATCGTTCGGAATGTACACAAACACTCTGCAGCAGCGAAGTGGGATCAGCCATGGGTGCCACTGGGCAAGGACTCAACGTACGGGTAATCATCATTGGTGTTGTTCGCGCCGTCGCAGCCGAAAAATACCGGCCGCTCGTTCAGTCCCAGGGACATGAACTCATTCGTAGAGGCCGGGAATGGCGTCGGGAAGTTAATTGTTCCTGACGGCAATATAGCAGCCTTCTCCTGTGTCGCCATGAGCGACAACCCGCTCGGTTTGTCATAAGCTGTCTCACCAGACTGCATTAAGGTGGTTCAGAAACCGATCTTTGTATCTCACGAGATGCAAAACCACTCACCGAGTCAAGGATGACAATAGCATCCACATTCCGCTTCTTCACGAGAAGCGGAAGTATCGGGTCGTTCTCGACGTCCAAAGATCCATCAAGCAAACTCAGTGCTGTCTCATTCCAATCTTGGTACGTGCCTACGTTCATCTTGTAAAACGGGTTCGCAACGCTCATTACGTCCATTTCTTGACCTGGCTGAAGTTTCCCGTAACTCCCATCAATTATATCGATCAATGGAACAAACTCCTCATTCCAGATGGGATTATGCGTGTAGTTGTAAATGTGAAAGTCGCAGGAAGATGTGCCGATCATCAGTCCTGCGTTGTCGAAGGAATTAACGCATTTCTCCTGCATACCATCGCTGAACGTAGAGCCAAGGTACGAGAGTGATACGAACGCAGCCAACTGTGGCTCATACGAACCAAACCTGGCAGGACGATGTTAGTCACTAGCGGCAAGCGGAGACAAATTTCGCACTCAAATGGAGTCAGTTCATAGACAACGGTGGTGAGAGGTACAGCACCGGTATCGCCAAATGGGACACCGGGAGCATTGGGTGAGTTGACATTAATCAGCACCACAGGGAAGGGAAGCGCATGAGTCTTCCATGATTCCCTAGACGCATGAATACGCAGATAAGTCGGATGATTAGGATGAGTGGCTGGTTAATTTACGCACAGTTGCGTCATGGACGAGTATGAAATGGCAGCGGCATGGTTTCCAACAGTTGTATTAGACGCAAAAGATGCTGTACCCGCGGTGCCAGGCATGAAATGATACGAAAGCTGAAAGGTGTAAGAGTTGATAGCTAGAGAACGAGTATGCGGAAGAACATACCGCACGCCCCCAAAGATCACAGAACGTCACGGGAAAGTCTCCAGCAAATCGCTTATCTCCCAAATCATCCATAAGATGCCCTATAAACGTATCCTCATACGCTCCAGATGGACCTGGTTCGAACATGTCCTCCACGAGCTGCCAACCAGGGATTCCAGCGGTCTCATTGCCAAATACCAAATTAGGCAGCGTCGGGAATTCGTTGAAAATTAGACTTGTTGAAACGTAGGAGCCCCTGAAAACAGCCCGATCAGTTAACCCCATGAGCTTCGCTGAGTTGATCGGGTGTGGGGGAAGAGGCTCACCCCGATAGCGCCGTCATATAAGTCGATGATTGGAGCAGGCCGCCGAGTCCTCTCGCCACACTGGTCTCGTTCCGGTCATCGAAGGCATTTAATGCAGCGGCGTTGAAAAGGGCAGCACGAAGATTGCCTCCAGACATCGCAATACCGAAGTTGGGCATGTCTGTCGCTGAAAGCGCGTCGAAATTACCACTATAGACGGTACTTAAAGAGTCGCCTAGCCATGAGCGCAGACTCGTCTGGACGATCTTCTGTCGAGAATTGATATATTCTACTTCATCCTACACAAAATCATCGTAACCGCATGTTATAAATGCGAATTGGTAGAGTTGTATATGGACAGCGACATACTGTATTCAGCGTTTGGTTACCTGCTTGTGGGGTACCAGTACGACGGATTAAATTATCTGAAGCCGGGCAAGTTTCATAGACAGGGTTGTAGGTCGTAACATTACTGGCTGAAGAGGACTTTGCTTGGGCGTCGGTGACAGGAAATAAGACAACCATTGGGAGAGGGATTGAGCGTGTTTCAGGGCGGATGTTTCAACGTCAGTTTTCATTTATAGCGCCATGTTCATCGGGCGCGCAGGCAACGAGGACAACCCAGGTATTGTGACCGAAAGGCACTGCGGCAATTGCATCACTCCGTATAGAGTCTAGCAGATCTGAAGCCACTGCCGACGGAGTTGTCGGTGACCTTGATTTTTGTTGTTTCTACTGGGCCGACATTACGGCCAGACTTCGATTGAATAGACCAGAGCTGCCAGAAACGAATGCTCGCTACTTGCAGGCATAAAGTACCACATATAGGAAGGCATTAGGCATATTGCAAAGTCCAGCAGGACTCGCCTCGCTGACGTGTAGCCGACCTCTGTGTAAGCCAGGATTTAGCGAAAGTCAGCTTGATCCGAACGCGTTAGCTGGCACTGTTGGCACAGGCAGCGCCTCTGAGCGCCTCTGATGTGATGCGCGCATGAGTCTCCTCATACACAGCTGCTCGGCCTGGCAGGCTGAGAAAAAAGCCAGAGACGACACGGTTCACAGCATTCTGCAATGTTTTCACGAATTTACACACCTTCATGCATAGCTATTCTCTATCCTACCAAGATGACCGCAAGCAAACACTGGTGAATATGTGGCATGAACTTGAAAGTCACGATCCTACGGTGTCATCTCTGGCTGTAGCTGAGTCGTCTCATTTGAATGTCTTCAGAATAAACATATGTGATTTAAGAAAGCTGCTTCAAGTTTGTGGTCAGCTACGTCGACTATGTCCGAGCGGTGATGGATGAACCATTCGCAGGCAATAGCTTCGAAGGTTTTCTTTTGCCCAATTGCTCCTAGTAGCAGGTATGTGTCGTCCATTGTTTTCGTACCCCTCTCTGGGGCATCATAATGTGGAGGAGAGGAAAGGCAGATCGTCTATTGTCATTCAGTCACAATCGTCACGAGTGGTTGGACTGATATGTCGAATGTACATGACTTTCCTGTCAGCTGCAGTACATCTATCTAACAAATACTTCCCAGGCTTTGTCATCTGGTGAAAATGTTTTCGTCGTGCTCATTTTGTCAGTATCTGACATCGAAATTCTGTTCAACAGTTCCCCGGTCGATCGGAACTCGAAGTATTATAGCACTAAGTATGCTGGTGGTAATTCACTTCTATATCGCTGTCGTATGATATCCTACAGCGCCAAACTATCAGGATCAAGATAATACTGCCGCTCAGTTGGGATGTGAGAAAAGGGTGTTGCGTAAGGACTGCCCGATGACCAGGGTTCTCGCTGTGCTGACTTCTCGCAGATTGGTGTGGTATCATATAGTCCCACATCACACATGTCCCCGTCGCCTGGTGCGTGGTACGCCGCAGCCTTTCCACGACGTGAGTGGAGCTCAAGATAATGTGTAATCATCCTGGCTAGATCGGCAAGTCGAGGCCCACAATATGACCGAAATGAAGCTAGCGCCCGGCGATTGTATGCGCAATTTGTATACGCGCCCGAGTTAGCGCACCCTGATTCCCTCCGGTAGCGTATGCTGTCACTACACTGCGCACAGTACGTACATGTTTCTTCTTTGGTGATATTTGGCCTTGCCGCTGTGGTTCCAGGCTCGATCCGGAGCCTGGCTTTACCGGCATTTGAAGAAGAGTTGGTGTGAGATAGGTGTGCAGTGGTGATATGTTCTCACTGTTGAACTGTGGACCCACTCATACGGAACTGCAAGATGTGTGTACCTTCCAGGCTTACCACTGGCCTGGAGCCACGGTGATGTTGATAATTCAAATGTCACAATTTTCTCTAGAACCTTGCTCATCTTTGCACGCCGCATCAGATTGAGCATTTGAATGAATGGGTAGGATCGACCATATGACCACAATACGACTCAATACCACCCGTTATCGTGAACTTGTCTTGGTATCTACAAGGAATGACCCCACAAGCGCATCTGCCACAAACTGTGACTGATCGGCGAACACAACAACCGGCCGCACACTCGCATTCTCCCTTTTGATTGGACAACGGTACAGCTGTATCATGCTGTCTATGGCATTTTCACTACCACGGCCCTGGGTTGCTAAGTATACACTAACGATGCGCGCCGAGCATTACACAAGCTCTCGCCCATCCCGTTTGTATACCCTGCCTCCCTTCATCACAAATTCAATGGCAGACTTGTCAATGGCGTTCTCGAAGTTGTTTTCCAAATCACCGCTGGTCGCGATAATGTCCGCCGCGAAACCCCGTCTAACGGCGCCGAATGGGACTTCGTTGTCTCCTACTACCCTCGCGTCTTCTTGCATGTTCATCACTTTCCGTAACCGCTCCTCTCCTGCCTTACCTTCCCATGCCATACTGCGGATGCATCTCCATCCGCCTAGCGTGCCCCACTGCAAGGCCTTCCGCCAATCGGCTCCGAGTCGTACCATGAGCTTCATTTCCAGTGCATTGTCTCCGTGCGGGAAGACACCCGTGTCACCCCCGCAGGCGATGTTGTCGATACCTTTCTCTAACGCACGCTTGAACGCGCGCGTTGCGCTCTCCCATACCTCGCCCTTTTCCTTGCTCATAGTATAGTATGCGGCGAGCGTCGGGACCCAGACCGTGTTGACCCTATCGCCGTCGCTCCCTCCTGCATGCTGCGTGTCGTTTATATCGGTGTCTTCGAATTCCATGTTGGTTCCATGCTCGATTGAATGAACTCCCGGTCCGCTTGAGATACCATTCTTGCCCCTCGCTTGCCAGTGGGCTGAATGCGCCGCAACCTTTACGCCCAGTTTGTTCGCGGTGGACACCAGAGCCTTCAGCTCTTGAGCATCGAAAGTCGGAATTGGGGCGTTTGATACAGCGGTTGATACGTCATCCATGCGAGAGCGGAAGCGGTAGTCTGGGTTGAAGAACTGTCGTTTACATGCCCAAAGAAGCTGGTAAATTTATTCTTACCGGCGTATATCTACGCGCAGCTCTTATTCAGTATCGTCCGCAGTCCTGTTCGATTTGAAGGACTCGCCTTAATCCAGTCCGCCCCTGCACCGACTTGTCTGCGAACGGCCTTGACGCACTCGACTTCACCATCGGCCACTTCTGCTCCGGTAATTCCCTCGATTCCCTCTCGGTTGAGATGAATCTTACTCTTGGGACCTGGTCATGGAATAAGTATGTCAGTTGAAAGAAGCAGCGTCTTTAATCCTTCAGACACACCGTAGCTACCAGTAGTGACAATTGCTCGGTTGGCGCAGAAGTATCGTGGTCCCGGGATTAAATAATTCGGCCCTGACATGCATTTGCGCAGGTGAATATCCGCATCCCCCGCACCCTCCGTTCCTAGGTCTCTGCATCGAATTGAGTGTCAATGAGCAGAACAGCCGACGGTGTACGTGTATTGACGTACCGCACGGCAGTGTAGCCTGCCATTAACGTGCGTTTCGCGTGGAGGGTGGCACGTATTGTACGCTCAACGAGGCTTTCCTTTGTGAGCTGGTCTTCCCAGCTCACTTCAGAGTAAGGATGTAGAAACACTGTGAAGTATTCCGACTGTCAATGATGTCGCAGTACATAATGCGCAAAGTTGATTATTCACAATGTACGTGCGCATCAACGAATCCGGGAAGAACAGTTGCGTGTCTGAGATCGACAAACCTCTGAGCATCTCTAAAATCCGCAAAGGCCAGCTCCGCAGATGTGTATGGATGGATATCAAGGATCAGCCCCGATTCAGGAGAGACCACGATCACAACGTTCTCGTGAAATGCGAGAGTATAAGAGTCAAATAGTTTCCCTGCAAAGATCTGCATCTTCGTATGTTCACTTGTTGCAGCAAAAGGGAGTTGCATTCCGCAGTAAAGAGCAAGACTGAGATCGTGAAGGGAAGGCTTGATGATATAGCCTTCAATGTCCTTTGTTATGTTTAGAGCACATCCATGAACGTCATATCGGTATGGGAACTATGTTCAATGTGAGATTAGAGTTCACCTTGTTCTTATCGGTTCGGTTCCCACACGCTGAGTTGACCAGATAGCCGATTTCGAATGGCACGGCATTGCCACCTCCGGACCGTTTCAACGTTCGACTTGGCAACTTGGTGTAGACTGGTCTGGTAATTACCGCAAGGCTGTCGTTAACTTGAAATTTGGCAGGATATGATATCGGGTCATAAGCATACAGCTCTTCAATCGGTCGGTATAATTAGTTCGCCGAGTCCCTCATGGCACAAAACCGTCAACGTAGCTCGCAATGTGGGAATTATCAGTAGGACGATCAACTGCATCTGTTCTTGTATCTCGTAGAGTAGGGACGAAGCAATGAGAGCCGTCTTTCGAAAAATGATGATTGTGCAGAAACCTTCAAACATTCTGAACCCGCCAGTCTTGCATGTTTAAACATACATAATAGCTCATTTCATAATATTTCATTGGGCACTCTGCCACGAGTTTATACGTTGAAGCTGAAGATTGAGACGAACTTCGGCTTGTCACGGAGATAACCGCCACGATCGCACGGCGTACGCTATTGTTGAGCTTATATTCAGATTGATCTACTATAACTATAAACAGAACCCATACCTCTTTGCGGTAACGCTAGTCGTCCGGTGTACTTAGAGGCGAGCCCATTCTTTGAGAGAGCACCCTGTCTCTGCGGACCACCTGTGTATTCCTTATTGTTATCAGACCGCGGAGCGCGTTGCGCGGCTACGCAACCGCCCTCAGTAATTAAGTGGATTACCCTATACGGAGAAGCATAATCTTCTGACAGAGGCGCTACAAACACAATCAAAACTCCAGCATAAGTGATATGAGAGGTCAACGCACCATACAGAGGATTCGCTCCGGCCGAAATCAGCCTACAACTAGGCCTTTGCTGACTACAATATAATATGGAGAATGACGCCCATTTCGCCCGCGTTTCACTTCATTATTTTGTCAGCGCCATTGCAATTGACATGACCATGCGTCTCCGGGGACGATGGCCCGCTCAGTCCGTCCGCGTTCCGCTCTATCTATGAGTCAAATCGCCAAGCACCTGCCCGCAAGGAGTTTCCATCGGATAGACCCAGATCAACCTAAGATCCGCACCACACCAGCACACAAAACAGCGCTCACCTTAGCCCAATCCGCGTGCTCACCGAGCTGTCGCCGACACGTATTGATCCATCTGTATGTCCCCTGCCCACGATCTTGGTGCCTGTGATCCCCCCCGCAGCGCCCTCCGACCGATCGAGGCGCAGATCCAGCGTCCCGGCTCATGGCTGATACTATTGACAACCCAATTCCGGACACCATGTGTGCTAGCGCGAGGGAACACAATCTGAACGGACCGAAAGCGGATGGCTCCGTCGCTACCAGCACCCGATTCGCGAAACATTGCCGCCCTCTTGGATTCGGGATCACTGGATTGCCATCGAAGAGCGTCTGCGCGACTGAATGCGAACATTATTATCTAGACATCAGTGCACAAGATTCTGGGCTACTGTTTCCCGCAGATATCGGAGTGAAAGCCCCATGTGGCTGAATTGCTGGGAATTCCTTGCTGCATCGACCGGCGCAAGGCCTGGGTGCCATCTCTGGACGCCGCGCACTAAATTTCATGTATGCAGTGATACAAAAAAAAACGGCGCTCACCATACGCGTTTATGTCGGCAGCATCGAGAACCTTTCGAAATAAACAGGTTGTGAGCCCTAACATGAAAATAAATCAACAAGAGAGAACATAGAAATTGTGTATACTGACAATGTCGACTGCTTGCTGAGCCTGGTTTATGATGTAGCGATGCATCAATGGCACAGGACTAGAACTTTGCAACTCTGAATCATCATATGTGAGGACGATTTAAACATTCTGAGAGGCAAACATGGTCGTTAAGCATTGAGATGGTGGGACAAGAAGGAAAGACGAACAGCAGACTGCAACCTGACGTGCACCGCGACGTACTGGTAAGCGCCTGGACAAGGACGCGTACCACGTGATTGTGCTATTTGAGGAGACACGTCGCGTCGCGTCGCCACGAATTCTCACTGTCTTCCGCACATCTGGAATGTCCATAATTTAGACCCACTCTTTTCACATCTTCTGACCAGCTTTGAAGGACATGGAAGATAGTGTAGACAAGTGAGGCTCGCCGCCTCCCCGAGCTCATGGACCACATGATCGTGTATGCACTGGACGCGCCGTCGCGTCGAACTTCCAGTCCCCGAACCAATGCCGCGCCACTGCCGACATATTTTGGCTCAATCACACGTGCGTGGAACGCCATGAAGTCCCACCAGACCCAAACATCTTAAGAGACCCTGTGCCACCACTAATACAGGACTATCTATCTAAACCAAAAACAATCAGCGATGACCGCTCGGGCCCTGGCCAGGGGGTATACGATGAGTGGAGCGAGTCCAAGCCACGAGCAAGCGACACGGGTCGAGCGAGTGAATACACGAAAAGGGGGAAACGGGAGTAGAGCTACGTAGATAGGTCAACTGCACCCGAGCCTATCGCACCAAGAGCGCGAAGGTACCGAAGAATGGCCAGCCCGCGCGGTGTGACGCGGCCCCGGGTCCCGTGTGCTGAGTCGGGTGAGTGGAGGGCGACGGAGCGGGGGAGAAACGATGCGCGATAGGACGATCTGCGGCCACGCGCCCCCGGGCGGGCACGGCGAACAGCGAACGGCGAGTAGCGACCAGTGAGCAGCGGGGGAAGAGAAGAAGGGAAGAGGGTCATTGAAGCCTTTGCGGGCAGCACTGACCCCGTGTGCGGACACGGATGAGGCAAAACGTTCATGAACCACGAGAGATGTGCGGCGGAGCGCGAGAGCGGGAAAGTGGATACTTAGGTGGGCCCGAAATAGGGTACGTAGTGCTATGTATAAGTACAGATGGGTGAGATGATATGCAGATGGCGAAACGGGCGATGCGGGAGTAAACGTCGGTAAGCACATTGTAGACGAGCCGAATATGCAGATTCAAAAAAAAAAA